TTCTGGATCGATGTTGTTTTCATAGCTCATCAATTCACGTGTTGGTTTCGAGTTCCTCTTCGGGCAACTCATCTCAAGGTTAGCCATTCTCTCTTATGACATTATGTGATGTTTGTTGGTGGGTAGAGTCATGTTGTTACTGGTAAAGACCATGTTCCTAATGGTTGTGCCTATTGTTTTTTTGTTGTTTCATTCGTAGCTTTGTTTTGTCTTCTTTTATCGGCATGTAATTTATTTTTCTAAAGCACCATTTCAAGTATTTTTTTATTTTCTAAATTATATAGCATCTAACGCCACACAGCTATAATGAACAAAACGAAGCAACAACATAAACTTTACTAACAATAGAGCAATCTATTTTGGAACAGGCGTTCACCCGTATCACATGAAGGCCGCCACATCCTTGGTGGCCAGCAAATTAAAGTTGGAAGATACCTTCAAGCCAAAGAATATCGAAATTCATAAAACAGGATCTCGAAGAAATTAACCGAGAAAATATACGAAAGAGACAATACAGAGCGAGCGAAAGTTTACGGTGAAGCACCGAAAACGCATGCCGATTCGGGCGGCACAAACTGACAGCTGTAGAATGACCTTTTCTTTCATCACGGGCCAAAATAACACGAGAACTTGAAAATGCATAACCTGCCTAAACTATACAAGCTGTTGTTGACCACATAATTAGGCCCAAAAAATATTAGCAACAATGGAAAGGCAAAAGCAGAACAACGGAGAGAACGAACATAAAACTCACAGGGCAGAGGCGAAATCATTGAGAAGTTGGTCGCAACCTTCAAAGGAAAGAGACACAACTGCGAATACAAAGGAGAAAAAGTGAAGGAAGATAAAATTGGAGCAAAAATTAAAGATAAGTTTAATTAATTTGCTGCAATACCTATCGATTACTACCTGGGAACTTGAACTGGAATAATGTTTTTCGGAACTCGAACCGAGTGAAGGGACAATACAAGGGAGACAGTGGGAGGCGAGAAGCTGGATGTGGCAGTCAGAATTTGTAGGCGCCGACCATCAGGAGGGGCTCAACATCGATCGAAGAGGCGGTGGCCGCCGGCCGAGGCTGCAGTGGCGGGCGGCAGCAGCGGGCGACTAAGGAAGAGCAAGTTAGAGAGCTGGTGGAAACGACGTCGTTCTGCAGTGAGCAGAATAAAAGAAAAGGAAAAATGATGGGTGCTTGATTTTTACTTTTTTTTTTTTAATCCGTTTCCTTCAATACGACGTCGTTTCTGCTTCCTCCTCATTGCCCGCTCACCACCGCCGGTCAGCAACGCCGTTCTCCATTGCCGCTTCGATTGATGCTGGGCCTCAATTGTGGTCCGCGGCCTACAATCTTTGACTCCCACATCCAGCAGGTTCTCGCCCCCCACCGCCTCCCTTAGAATCTTCCCTTTGCTCGGTTCAAGTTCCGAAATAACATTACCCAGTGTTGAAGTCGATAGGTACCAAATTAATTAAACTTATCTACTCCAATTCTTTTTTCATATTTCACTCTTTATTTTTCTTCGATGCTCTTCTTCCAGAACAGCCGCCGACGACTCTAGTCCGTTTTTATTGCCGGATGATGATTTCTCTCTTATTTTATTACATATGGCTTCTTTGGTCTCCAGGATTTGGTGTCCCGTTCTCTTTTTGCCTTTTTTTTTTTTCTTTTCACTATCTTATTTGCCCCGCACTGGTTGAGCTTGTATAGTTTAGGCAGGTTAAGCATTTTCAAGTTCTCGTGTTATTTTGCCTTTCGTGAAAACGCCTCATCTTAATGTGTACCTTCTCCTTAGAAATGAGAACTGCAGAATCAGCCATTATCCAAGAAGCCAAACCAAAGGACCTAAATGACCAGCTCAAAATCAAAAGAACTGTAGAATCAGAAGATGGCCTATTTTAGATTATGAAATTGAAAACATTAAAATAAACAGAGAAGACTGGTAGAAAAGGATAATCATAATCAAAATTGAGCACATCGTCATCATCAACCGGTAACATCATCTAACGCAAAAATGATTCACATTATTTAACTAATAAATAAATTAAATCCAAAAAAATAAACGCAGTAAATTGAGTGAAACCCGATGTATGACGGTGGCAAGCGGCGGTCGAGACGGCAATGGGAGGCGCCGGTCAGAGTCAGCCGGTGTAATGTGAGAGGGCAAGAAAACCGCAAGCGCGCGGCGAACAATAAAATCAAACGGAGCATGGGATTCGTCCTACAAGATCAATTGAAAAGGAATTACAGGCAGCAGCTGATTTACAAAGTGATGCGAACAAAACGTTACCCAAATAGACTTGTAAGTTGTACACCAGTCCCTGCAACATCAAACACACAATTCAGTTACAATCAATATGCGGACATAGAACGATCTAAATTAACAGGTGCCAGCGGCGGCAAAAGGCAACTGTTCTTTTTTGTTTAACTAAAAGGCCCAATTTCCTGAACATTGCCTCGGTATAAGCAAAGCCAACTAATACGCAGGTCCTCGGTTACCGAGCCGACCTCGTCCGACACCATTTACGAGAAGGTGAGGTCGTCTCAATCATATACTGTTTAAGCAATGCCAATTTCGGCGAGCAAAAGGTGTGTATCTTCAGCCAGAGAGAGCGGAAGTACCCCAACGGCTAAAGGCCAAATCAGGCCTCAAAGTCGGGATACTGGAAAGCCACTGGTATAGGATATCACCAGGTTTTGTTTATTACAAGATATCAGAAAAACCGAGTGAATTTGGGTATTTAAGAATTTTTCTTGCTCATTGAGTAATTTTGATTTTGTTTTTGTTTGTTTAGCGCATAGTCTTGCTCGTTCGCATATGGTTCTAAATAAGTACATTTCGTTATCCAATATTTTTTTTTTAAAGTATAGGGAGTTGCAGAATTAGTACATTTCTTTAACCAATACCATAATTTTTTGAAATGTACAGGTGAGTTGCATAATTTTTGTTTCCGTTATGCTCTTTTATTATTTACAATTTATTCTTTCAAATTGTAATCGGTTATTGTTTTTTGGCTGCGAATCTGCCAAAAAGGGAATAAGTTCTTCAAAAACTTTAGCATGTATTGTTGCTACTTTATGATGGTGTTTGTGCCCACCGCCAATTGTTCAACTCGGCAAGATCACTAGGTAGAGTTTTAATTGTATGTCTTTGCTGAAACATCTCTGTTTTTGTGTACTCTTTTGTGGTTTTGATGTATTTGAATCGATGTAGGTATGAATGAATTGAATCGTAAGATGATTAAGTTCCAGTTCTCCATTTTCGGAACCGAGAACCGACGGTTAGAACCAAGGTTCTAACCGTTCTAAAAATAAATTTAAATTAAATTATTTAAAGTTTAACTTTAAATTTTAAAATTTTAAAATTAAGTTCAAGTCCTTTCAATTACTTTCCTATTCAATTTCTAATTTTTAAAATTACAACTAATTCCTTCAATTTTTTTAAAAGTTAAAAAAAGTTTTTGTAATTATTTAAAAAAAAAACTTTAATTTTTTATAAGTCTTTGAAGTATTCTTTCCACTTTTTTTAAAAAAAATTAACTATTTTTTAAGTTATATATAAAAAAAAATTAAATTATTTAAAGTTTAACTTTAAACTTTAAAATTTAAACATTAAGTGCAAACCCTTTCAATTTCTTTCGTTTCTCCTTTTTAATTTTTAAAACTAAAACTAATTCTTCCAATTTTTTTAAAGTAAAAAAAAAAGATTTTTTTAAGTATTAAAAAAAAAAAAAAAACTTCAATTTTTTTGAAGTCTTTCAAGTATTCTTTCCACTGTATTTTTTCAATTAATTATTTTTGAAGTTATATATAATAATAATAATAAGTCAGGACCGGCCAGTTCTACCAATTATAACCGAGAACTGAACCGGAACCGAACCGCAAGGAACCGGAAAATATTCGGTTCGATGGTTCCTCCAAATTCAGAACCAAAATCGAACCAAACCGTGGTCATGTCTAGATTAAGTTGGGCAACTAGGTTGCACCCCAACTTCTCAGCATAATGGGTCAGAGATCCAATGGGACCAAGAGAGTAAAGTGGGCTATGAAAGTTTGCCCGACAGACTTCGAATATTAAGAAATACCAAGAGCTCGCTTCTATGAAGCACAATAGCAGTAGTGGGTCAAAAGCTTGCCCAAGAAAGGTCACCCACATGAGAGCTCATCGCACGTTTCTAATGCAAGTAGAAGTGAGAAGGGAAGATACTGCGGACGGCAAACTGATTTCATGACCGTTGGATTGTGAGTGTTGACATCAAAATTGAGATTAAATTACGAATTAATGATCCAAATAAATTGGTTATTAATTCGGATCTTAATTAAAAGTCCATAAAAAATTTTGGGCTTATATCAAATTTTTGAGATTAAATCACAAATTAATAACCAAAATAAATCGGTTACTAATTTGGATCTCAAATCAAAGCCCATGATGAATTTGGGCTTTATGTTGAAGTCCATACTATATTTGGGCTTCACAAATGTGTTATGTGAGTGAACCCGAAATAAGCACTAAATTCTTATTTATTCGGGTTAGTCATTCGGGCTTATAAAAGCTAGCCCACGTGAATTTGCAAGGGTCCAACTCCACCGGCCCAAGTTTCAAGTCAAGAAACCCTAAATCGAGCCTATAAAAGGAGGAAGAAGACAAGTACACAAGCATCAAGCAAGGCGTACATCAAGCACTCAAAAGCTCTCAAGTCTCGAGCTCTTGCCACGACGAAGAACAACAACCGCGGAGGTTCTACATCTTCATCAAGGCACCAAATCCACAAGACCTAGAAATCCCCAAATCGATTTCTAGATATTCATATCTACTTCCGCAAATCAACGGTGGAATCAAGCTCTCAATTCAAGAACAAGCTTCGGCCCTTGGATTACATCTAGGAGAAGAATCAGAGGAATCAACAAAGATTGTAACCCATTTTCGTTTTGATTAAAATATAATTATTTGTTCCTACTTTTTCTTGTCTTGTAATTTATTTTGCAGACATTTAAATTTGAGGTTAACAAATTGGCACGCCCGGTGGGACCACTTTGCCTCTCATCTCCTCTCCTACATCGAAGCGCATATCCACGTGTTCAACGATCCAATGGCTCCAAAGAAGAACCAAAACTCTTTGATCCAAAAGGCTGCCGAGATTGCCACCGTTGTTGGTTTATCATCCACCGGGGGCAAAATCGAGAATACAACTACGACAAACGGCTCAAGCTCCTCAGGCTCGGAAGAGATCGATTCCAAATCTCAAGCCTTCACCACATTGTCGGTTATGGTGGTTGATGCGACTTCCGTGGATGAGCAATTGGCGCACTTGGCCCAAACAGTGGCCAATCTTCAAAAAATAGTCGAAGACAAAGACATGAAAATCGCTCAATTAATGGATAAGTTGGAACAGTCAGAGGTTGGGGAGTTTAGCCCGAAGCACGAATCTTACCCGCTTCGTGACGAGAAGGCAAAGCAAGTGGAAGAAGCACATCCCAAGCCGGACTTCGTGCAAGGCGCCACTCATTCTTCGATGTCTGTTGCCACGCTATCTGTACAACAATTGCAAGAAATGATTGCCAATACTATCAAAGCGCAATCTGGAGGACCATCTCAAGTCTCACCCATGTATTCAAAGCCGTACACTAAGCGGATCGATGCATTGAGGATGCCAGCGGGATACCAACCCCCAAAACTTCAACAATTCGACGGAAAGGGGAACCCCAAGCAACATATTGCTCATTTCATCGAAACTTGCAATAATGCGGGGACTAACGGCGATCTCTTGGTGAAACAATTCGTGAGATCGCTCAAGGGAAACGCTTTCGATTGGTATGTCGATTTGGAACCCGAGTCCATCAACAGTTGGGAAGAGATGGAACATGAATTCTTGAATCGCTTCTACAGCACGCGTCGTACTGTGAGTATGATCGAGCTTACCAACGCGAAGCAGTGGAAAGATGAACCGGTTGTGGATTACATCAACCGTTGGCGTGCACTAAGTCTAAATTGCAAGGATAAGCTATCCGAAGTGTCAGCGATTGAGATGTGTATCCAAGGGATGCATTGGGGACTTCTCTATATTCTTCAAGGGATTAAGCCCCGAAATTTTGAAGAATTAGCTACTCGTGCCCACGATATGGAATTGAGCATCGCTAACCATAAAAGCGATTTTACCGTGGACAGTCAAAGGATAGAAAACAAAGACTCAAGGAGAAGCGATAAATTCGCTAGGATTGCTGAAGAGTCTATGGCCATCAAGGCAGGTAGTGTGAAGATTCAATCGAAGAAGAGAGACGAAAGAGAGGAAAATCAACGTATGTTCAATGATAGACGTCAACCTACATTGAAAGAAATGCAAGAAAAAGAATACCCGTTCCCGGACTCTGACGTCTCGCAAATCTTTGATGCGTTGTTGGAAAAGAAATTAATAGAGTTGCCTGAATCAAAACGCCCCGAGGAGGCCGAAAAGGTAAATGACCCTAAATACTGCAAGTATCATAGAGTTATCGGCCATCCTATAGAAAAATGCTTTGTGGTGAAGGAAAAGATCCTTAGATTGGCCCAAGAAGGAAAAATAATCATAGATACCGAAGATGTAGTCAACACAAATGTTGCTAGCATAGCTCATGCCCGGAGTCCTCGTCAAGTTCTATCCTCTATTATAGAAGAGTCGTCGAAATTTCAATTCGGGAGCCTTGAGCCAACCTTTGTGAAATCTCTGCTTCTTGAGAGAGAAATCATATGCAAAGAAGATTCCACGCATGTAGTTGATGATGATGGTGAATGGACCCTCGTGACGCATCGACAAAAACAAAGGAGGCGTGCTGAGAAGCTTCACTCATTGAAGCCAATAAAGCTACCTAAATGCACTCACTATGAAAGTGGGATTGATGATGCGAAAGCATATGGCACCTTACCTAGAAGTTCATTCAAAGGTTCCCGTCATAGTCAAGTAACTTTGGAAGAATTCTTTCCGCAATACTTTCTTCAAGCAAAAGCCGAAAGGTTATCGGCCATTTCACGTGAAGAAAAGAGTCAAAAACTTGCTACATGTTGCACAACTATGACGTTCGCGGATGAAGATTTGTTGCTAGGGTCAAAGCCTCATAATCGTCCACTTTTTGTCTCGGGGTTATTGCATGAGAAGAAGGTCGACCGCATGCTTATAGATGGAGGGTCAGCGGTCAATATCATGCCAAAATCTACTTTGAAACAAGTGGGGATCGCAGTTGAAGACTTGACTCGTAGTCGTTTGACTATTCAAGGCTTTAATCAAGAGGGTCAACGAGCAATTGGAATGGTTCGATTAGATCTCACGATTGGAGAACTAACCGCCAGTACACTATTCCATGTGATCGATGCAAGGACCTCTTATCACTTGTTATTGGGAAGGCCATGGCTTCACGAAAATGGAGTTGTTCCATCTACCCTTCATCAATGCTTCAAATACTTGAGAAATGGAGAGTTAGTGAAAGTCGATGCGAATACAAAACCATTCACTGAGGCGGAATCACATTTTGCCGATGCTAAACTTTATGTGGACTTAGACTCGGCGCGAGAAAATTTGGTAGTTGAGGACACACCTATGGATGATAGTGGCGCGAAGTTCGAGAAGTTGGCTGCTATAATTGAAGCCCCGGCGTGCAAAATCAACAAGTCCATAGAGAAATTTGATTCGTCGGTATTCCCATATGTTCCTCCGTCATGCCAAAAAGAAGGACAAGTTTTGTTCAGTGATTGTATTTCATTGCCATGTGATGTAGAATCATGTAAAGTGGAATCGAGTCATTGTCAAGTCATCAAGAGGGAGTTGATTATGCCCATCATCTGCTTGAGAAACAAGGGGCTCGTGAGAAAACGCCATACGCGCTCGTTCAGCATCAAAGAGCTCAAGGAGAGTTCAATCCAAAAGCATATAATCTCCTAACCAAGTGTGGATACAACTTCTCTAGCTCATCACGATTAGGTGAACTAAAACCTGAGTTAACGAGAGAAAAGACCCACGGACTAAATGAAGCGCAAAGGACATTGGGAAGACAAGGTTCCCATGTTGATCAACCTAGAGTTGGTTTGGGATTCACGCCAATTGAACCAGTTAGGATACGCGTATCAAGGAAAGAAGAGTGCGTCAACGTCCAACATATCACCGTAAAGGATGGTGGAAAGCAAAAGAAAAGCACCGATCGTGTTTCTGTTTTTGATCGACTTGGTGCCCCTGTTGCTCGAGCTTCTGTCTTTGAAAGGCTTGGACCTTCTAATTGTGTCTCCAATGTCCATAATAGACTGTCTCCAAGTGGTACATCTGTTTTCACACGTCTTGGCGGCCGTAAAGGGCAACAACAAAGGAAAAGGGACCGTGATGAGAAAATAGACGAATTGGAATTGAGAAGTGAAGCTCAAAGTCCTCTGCCACTTCGACCAAATAGAAAAGATTCATCGATCTTGCTTATTGCAACAAATGGAGCGGTGAAGATGAAGCTATGCGTCATCAAACATCATGTTCCTATGTGCGAAGATGCTCAAAGTGAAAACGAAGTGGAAGTCAATGTTAGCTCGTGTTATGCAAGCGCCGTTGATGAGTTGAATCCAAATCTCGCATTATCCTTGAAGAAACATCTCATTTTGGATAAGAGAACAAGATAAATTAAAGTGAAATGTTCGCTTGAACTACGTTATGACTTGATCCCTTTGAGGAGGGTACGTAGGCAGCTTAGACCCATATTCTAAGTTCAGTCAAAACAAAAAAAAAATTGTTCTAAGTTGTTCGCTTGAACTACGTTATGACTTGATCCCTTTGAGGAGGGTACGTAGGCAGCTTAGACCCATATTCTAAGTTCAGTCAAAACAAAAAAAAAAAT